GGGCGGGGGAAGGCGGGTGGGGGGTTCTGGGTGAGAGGATACTGGTCGCCAGGCGGTTCTGGGCAGCCCCGTCCTCTCTCTGGCTTTGGCGCCTCCATCCAGGCAAATGCGCAAAGCTGTGGAACGCGGGTCTCTACAGGATGGGTGATCACGGGGTGGTCGCGTGGGTCATGGCCTTGCCCTTGTGTGGGCGGTGGTGACCGAGCGAACTCTCAGATGCCTCAGCACCCTTCCACCCCTTCCCCCAGGCAGAACGAGATTTTGGGGCGGGAGGTGGTGACACTGAGACAGAGCCACAGTCAGCAGCACAGAGTCATTGGCAAGGTATTTCTCTTCAGCCCTTACTTCTCCAGACCACTCCCCCTCCGACCGGGTCCTCCGGAGCCAGGGTTAAACCCTCCCCCCACCTGGAAGTGCCTTGCTGGGTGTGTGTGTGTGTGTGTGTGTGTGTGTGTGTGTGTGTGTGTGAATTAACCCTTTGTTTTCTCTTCAGCTTATCCAGTGCCTCTTTGGGCCACTCCAGGCGGGGCCCAGCAGTGCAGGGGCCAAGCGGAAGCTGTAAGTGAGAAAGTCAGAGATACCCAGATCCACTTGCCGCTGCCAGGACCTCCTCCCCAGGGTTCCCCCTTACAGGGGTCCCTCCTCCCAAACCCCTTCACCAGGAAGCATCCTTCTCCTTCCCCCATCCAAGACTTTCTCTTTCTCCCCCAATTTCCACCACCTGGTACTTCCACTCCCAGCTCCCCCTGTTCTAGGACCTCAGCAGCCCCCCATCCCCCCTGAGCATCCCAATAGCAAAGGGCCTGGGGCTTAAACCATGCTCCCTCCCCCCATCTCTACCCCCAAAGGGCCCCCATCCCTGGGGGGAGCCCCTTCCACCTCCAGCATGTGACCAATGCCCTGGCAACAGGCCTCAGCTCTGCTGACTTGGCTGCTGGGGCCTGAGGGAGGGAGGGAGAGAGGTGCAGACCGAGGGTCACGGGGCTGACCTTGCACAGGTCCCTGATGCTGGATGAGGGGAGCTCATGCCCAACACCAGCCAAATTCAACGCCTGCCCACTACCTGGCGCCCTCCTGCAGGACCCTTACTTCATCCAGTCGGTAAGTTTCTCTTCTCCCATCACTAGGGCACAGCCAGGTCATTTCTTCTCCCCGTTCCCCCAAAAGAAGAGAAGACGGAGGCCAGCTTTGCCCCCAGCCAGACCCAGGTTTCCCAGCCTGGGTTGGGCCTGTCCCCCCTCAAACCTTCCCCCTCAGACCTGGTCCAGGTGTGTGCTACTGGGTTCTGGTCCTCCCTGTGGCTAGAGGTCAAGGCTGGGCTTAGCCTTCTACTTACAGCCCCTTCCAGAGACAGCCTTGGGCCTCAGCCCTCACAGGGCCAGGGGCCCCATCATCTCTGATGTTCCAGAAGACCCTCCATCCCCTGAAGGAACCAGGCTTTCTCCCTCTGGTGGTGGCAGGAGGTAAGGAGGACAGAGGCTGCCCTCTGGGAAGCCTGTGGGGAAGGGCCTGGCAGCCCAGATGGCTGTGGGGGGAGGGGGAGAGGTCAGTGCCAGGGTCTGGTTGAAGCTTTTCTCCCGTACAGGGAGAAGGGCCTGGCACTGCTCAAAGAAGAGCCGGCCAGTCCAGGGGGGGATGGCGAGGCCGGGCTGGCCCTGGCCCCAAACGAGTGTGACTTCTGCGTGACAGCCCCCCCACCGCTGCCTGTGGCTGTGGTGCAGGCCATCCTGGAAGGGAAAGGGAGCTTCAGCCCTGAGGGGCCCAGGAATGTCCAACAGCCTGAACCAAGGGGTCCCAGGGAGGTACCTGACAGGTGAGCAGAGGCCATTCAGGCTGCTTCTGTAGATAGACTAGCACTTGCCGGCCCACAGAACTTCCTAGCTTGTCTGCCCTGTGGTGGCTGAGAGGGCGACTGGGCACTTGAATCTATCAATCATACTGACCTGATTTCTAAGGAGCACCAACATCAGAATCCCCTGAAAAGTGGAAACTGCCACGCAGGCCTGGAAACTCACAAACCCCTTGTGGTAGGGCTCGGGAATCTGCATTACAGTTTTATTTTGTTTAGTTAATTTAATGTTATTTTTCAATTCTCCAGAGGATGTATGTGCTGGGATGGGGAAAGAGAAAGTGAGAAAGCAGCCCCCATGGGGGATGGTCACACTGCAATCCCTTCTCCATCTCTCCCTCCTTTTGGTATTTTGGGCACACACGTACACATGCCTGGTGTTTTTAAGCTGCTGGGTCTGGGACTCAAACTGCATAGTTGGCCATGTGGGATCCAACCACCTTAACTGCCATGCCATGGGCTAGCCCAGGAATCTGCATTGTAAATGTGTTCACTGGGGAACAAAGGGAAGGGACATATCCCAGCTCCACACCCAAACATCAGGTCCCAAGAGGCCCTCTGTGTGCCCCTTTATGTGGTTGGCTTGCCTCTCCTAACATTTTCTAGATGTTGGGGGACTTAAATCCCAATGCATCAGGTTTCTTGGTACCTACTGTTGGGAGGGTGCCACTGTAGGCCAACAGCAGTTCTCTGTGCACAGGGGGCCTCTAGGCCTGGAGAGAGGGGATCGGAGCCCAGAGACTCTGCTGCCTCAGATGCTGCTTCGGCCCCCTCCTGAAAGTGTGGAGCCTGCAGGGCCCCTGGATGTGAGTACCCCTCCAGCAGGCACCTGGGCATGAGACCCCATGGGGTCCAGCTGTCTGCAGCTTGGCGAGTACACCACTGACCCAGAGCTGTCCTCAGGTGCTGGGCCCCAGCCTCCAAGGGCGAGAATGGACCCTGATGGACTTGGACATGGAGCTGTCCCTGGTGAGATGGGGGTGGAGGAGGGCAAGGGCTGGGGGTGCTAAGTCAAGCCCTTTGGTCAGTGCAGGCTGTTCTATGAGGAGGACTGTCCCATGGATTCCCCAGCTCCTCCTTGGCTATTCAGCTCCTTCCCAGCTGCTTCCTGGGGTTCTCCCTTGCAGATGCAGCCCTTGGTTCCAGAGAGGGGAGAGGCTGAGCTGGCAGTCAAGGGGTTAAATTCTCCAGTCCCAGGTAATGGTCCTGTTGTCTCAGGAGGGGGATTGGGCCCTTCTACCAGGATGGGGTGGGCTAGGCAGTTTGTGATTGGCAGGAAAATCTCCTGGCTGCGCTACCAGCACTACTTGAACCACCCCTTCACCATTGGAGAGGTGAAGAATGGGTGTTTCAGTCAGCCCGTAGTTTAGTGGCTAAAGGAGCTGGATTCCACATGGCCGACCCTGACCCTGTAGTTTGAATCCTGGACCTGGTGTCTTGCGAAAAACACCCTGGGCACTGTGTGTGTGTACCCCAAATCCTGAGAGTGGAGAAATAGAGAAGGGATAATGGTGTGACCATGCTCTATTGGTGGTGCTTTTCTTCCTCTCTGTTTCTCTCTGGGGAGTGCACATGCTCGCTGGCAAATTTAAAAGGGGGGGGGTATTCATTCACCCTGAGCAGAAGGCAGGGCCACCAGACTCTTCCTCCCTAAATAAAGAAGGGGGGATGTTCCTCTGTGCTGAGCACAGCCCCACTTCTCCTAGGGAAGGACCCCTCGCTGGGAGCCCCACTCCTGCTGGACGTCCAGACTGCTTTGGGAGCCCCAGCCCTCGGCCTGCCTGGGGCCTTAACCATTTACAGCACCCCTGAGAGCCGAGCCTCCTACTTAGGCGCTGGGGCCAGTCCCTCCCCCTAAGAGCCATACGCCTCTGAAGGGCGCCTGACAGGAACCAGTTCATGGCAGCACACCCTCCTCGGCTTCCTGGCGTCCCCTGGCGGGCGGTGAACGTAGCCTCCACTACTCTGCGGCTTCCCTCCAATACCCTCAAGAGCTCTGCACATAAACTGCATTTTTTTCTGTGTTTCTGATCTCTTTTCTCTGTCTAACCCGGAGCACAGAAGTCATGGGAGGGGGGCAATTTGGCATTCATAGAAGCTTTAATGGAGGAACCCCTGGAGAGTGGGGGGATTAGGGGGCCAGCGCCTAACTGTCCTGCCCAGAGCCGGTATGGGGCCACTGCAGCTTCCCAGAAGTGGTGGCTTCAGGGTCACACCCAGCTCTGTGACCCTGGGAGAGTCGGTCCCCTTCTCTGAGCCTCTTCTGTGACAGGCAGAGAGGACAGATGTAACGCGTCTGGGTATTGGCAGGCCCAGAGTGGGCCCTGAACACGGGGCGGCGCGGCGGGCCGAACTGTGTTCTTCCTGACTCATCCCCGGGTGCGGAGAGAAAGCGGACTGGGACTACGTTCCGAACCCGCGCGGCCAGGCTCCCGGCGCCCTGGGCGCCCTGGGCAGACCGTCCGTTCCCAACCCCCTCCCTGGC